CAATCCGCATCGCCCCTTGTCTTCATGCTTCCCTTTCTGGACTGGAGGCCACCCCACCAGCCAACCTGTAGTTGATGTCGGATCCATTCCAGTCCAGGACACATACCTAATCCTCTTCGGGTGACCATTTGGGAGACGGCTGGACCGTCCCGACAGGGCAATCGTCCCACGGGAACAGTCTCGCTTTCGCAGATCACTGGCGCTGGCTCGCACAACCCAATTACTACACCAGAGCAATGTCATAGCTCTGCAAGGGCCTTTTCAGACCGAAAAAGATGGCTCTCAACAAAACAAACAATTTTCTCATTCAGTATTGTATCTCATCAAGCACCACATGTTTTCAGAGTGTTTATTATGCGTTCCGTCCAAAAAAGCGCAGTTCAATTTTCTCCCATTGACTTGAGCGATCTCAAAATTGACCCGGCCTTTCTGTCAACAATGTCAAACTTGCAAAGTAAACGTTTCAATTACATATACTGTTGCCCATTGAAATCGCTGAAAGTTCTAAAGCGATCGGTTAGTCGGTGTATTTAGATATAATGAGCAGCAGGAACTTTCCTTGAGGTAAGGTCGCTTGACGTGACCTGGTGTTATGACCTTGAATTGAAAGACTTGGGCGGGAAAAATGGGTCATTTGAAATCTTAAAATGCTAGATTTTAACAATAATTGCAAGCACTATCCCGGCTTAATAGTGAATGAGAAGGTAGCGATTCCCCAACCCCATGTTTAGCTCCTATAATTGAGCTAGCTGCTAGATCCTCGCGAAAAAAAAACGAGCGCTTGCGTCGTTACGTGACGCAGTGACTGGTACCACATTTTAAGATATCAGTGACCTCTTAGGGCAGGTCAAGGGCCCCAAGGCATTAGATCGGTTTTTGGTAAATAACTTCGCAAAAATGGTCCCATTATCGTCATTTCGATACAATCGTGTTTTCTGTTCTCAGACGCGTCGATTTATATGCTTTTTTGTTTAGGTGAAACAATTTAGGATGTTTACCTCAGGTCAATGTCATGTTAGGGCAACACAGGTCACGAAGCTGTTGAAAGGAGGACATGTTGCATAACATTTGATTTGGCAAGTCTTGCAAAGTCCATTGATGGCTGTCCCGAATGGCTAGGTCATTTTGATCGGGAGTTATTGACGAAGCACTCCTATGACCCTAGTGACGTCATAAATGACGTCACGCAAGGTGAACAATGCAAAAGTGAAGCATTATACCTTGCCAAGAATGAATGAAGTCACGGTTTCATGTGCTTGAGGTATAGTTTTAAATAATTTCCGACGCCAAATTAACAGTTTCCATATTTCCCCATTATGCTCATATGACACTAAGTGCATTGCGGACTTGCACCATTTTATAACCGACAACCGTGCAGAGGTTTACTTAACCTGCGCCGGGCAGGTTCTCTGAGATTCCGCGCCGGGCCGGGGGGTGTCTGAACACCCCCCCCCCTTCTAACTCGGCTCCTGGGCCACGTAGCGACACGCGGTAAGCGCAATCGAAAGAACGTCCAAAATAAGGACGAAAACACTTCAGTCATTTTTTGGGTCAGGTCAAAAGTCAGGTCACCAGAGGTCACCAAAGGTAAAATGTTGACAATTTAAACATTTTGAAAACTGCCGACGGCTGTCTCGGGAACCGATAGAGCTACAGCGCCGCGGAAAAACGCATTCGATAGCCCTTTTACAGACCTTTCTGAATAATGTCTCAGATTTGACCTCAAGTCAACGGTTTAGCCTTCAGAGGGCAAAAACTCCAAAAATAGCCTTTTTTTACGAAGTGTTTTTTCGGCAATAACTTTTGACTCAAAAGAGCCATCACACTACTTTTGCCAGCATTGTGTTCCTCTCGTCGAGACGCGTCGAATGAACTATAATTTGACCTTGAAAGGTCAAAATTGACCTGACCTAGGTCACCGATATCAAAATTTCGAGACATACATTTCATAGATAATGTTGCTCTCATCAATCGCTGAGAGTTTCAAGGCAATCGTTCAGTCGGTGTAGCTACGACGAGCATTCTTATTTTTTCTGTGAGGTCACTTGGCGTGACCTGGTGACCTGACCTAAGGCGACCTGGGTCTGAAATTTGCACATGTGTGGAAAAGATGCACGAACAGGTGTGCCAAAAACGGCGGCGCGGAAACCGTAGGGGGGAGGGGTGTTCAAACACCCCCCCCCCCCGGCCCGGCGCGGATTAAGTAAGACGTCATAGCTAAGTGACCTGACCTGAAAACGTAGTTGATGTCAAATGATCCGGCTTGAATCAAATGTAAGGCATATGAAATGTCAGCCTTCTATCATCAGTTTTGCAAAAAACATGGTGGCGATATCCAGCCCTCTTCTCGGCCGGCGAGGGTTAACCCTCGCCGGACCTATTGGTTTTCTACATACGCGCCGGCCGAGGGGGGGGGGGCGGGTACGACCCCCCTCGCCGTTTCGCCCCTGGTGGAGATAGCGCGTCGCGGAAAAAACGAGCGTGTGCGCCGTTACGAGACGCAGAGATTGGTACCCGATTTTAAGGTCCTAGATGAACCGGTGACCTCTGAGGTCAGGTCAAGTGCCCCAAGGTACGGTTCAGTTTTTGGTAAATAACTCCGCAAAAAATGGCCGCAGAGCCGCGATTTTGGCAGCATCGTGTTCGCCTGGCTCAGGCGCGTCGAATGATATACTTTTTGTGCGGGTCAGGTCAACTTAGGGTTTTGACCTCAGGTCAAGGTCAGGTCAGCACCCCCAGGTCACAAAGTTGGTCGAAAGAGGTCATGTCGCATATCATTCGATTCGGCAGGTCTTCCTAAGTCCATTGGTGGCTTTCCCGACTCGCTATCTCAATTTGATCAAAAGTTATTGACGAAAAACGAATATGACCTTGATGACGTCATAAATGACGTCACGAAAGGTCAACATTGCAAAAGTGACGCATCTAACCTTGCAAGGAGTGCATCAAATCACGATTCTGTGTGCTTGACACAGTTGGAGATCGTTCCCGGCGCCAGAATAGCAGTTTTAATTTTTCCCCATTGACTTATAATGGTGAGGTCACGAAAATGACCTGACCTCATATGACCTTTAGGAAAAATCCGAGATATACAAGTTGTGAGACTCATAATGGATACTAGATCCTGCAAGTTTCATTTCCCTGTGTCATCTCCTCTGGCAGTGAGGGCGTTGCGAAGTTGCGACATCTGAAGACCGTGCAGAGGTTCACTTATGACGTCATAGGTCAGTGACCTGACCTGACCCAAAAATGCGGTTGGTGTCAAAAGATCCGGCTTGAATCAAAGGTCAGGTATGCCAAGTTTCAGCTCTCTATCGCCAGCGTGTTCGGAGCTATCGCGAAAAAAACCCTATGGGGGGGTGGCACCCGCCCCCCCCTCGGCCGGCGAGGGTTAAACCTCGCTTTAAATTATTGCAGATAATGATGCGACCGCAAACAAAGTATTCATCTGTGTCTAGAACGGCCGCTGACTTGTGGGACAAGATCTCCAATATTGATTTGCTAGATGGGAATAAAATGCTTGGTATGTGATACATATATACCCCTCGATCTGCCCTCGCGCTAAGTCTATTCCAATCATCACTGTCGCTTTTTATACGAGATGATGTCGCCGTTAAACGGGTTGTTTTGTTTGCTTGCTTGCATTAAATGGTCATTACGGATTGATTAGTGAAGGATTATGATAAAATAGGAATGGGGCAAGGGAGGATATGCACTGCGTCTGCGTGTGTTCAATTTAGATCACAAAGGCATCATTTCCGGCATCGTGCAGAGTCACTATCTTCCCCTCCTCTGCACTACGGCATCTCTGCGCCCCACACACGGGCACGGCGTCCTCACTCCATGGCCGGCCGCCGCCAACTGACCCACTCGCCGGGCGCCGCGACCTGACCCGTGTCGCGTAACCTGCGCAGTAGAGTCGGGGCTGGAATCCGGGGGTTCGGCCGGCCGTCCGCCTCTGGAGCGGGGGACTTTTTTAGTAGACCTACTGTACGGCCTATTAACGAAACACGATTCCTCCTCCAACATTGGCGGACAGTGACAAAATGCTGTTTTAACAGACACGCGCCGCTGTATAAACATGCCCGGCGTTCACTCAGGATAATGCCCATCAATTATGCACCGTGGACTTTCAGGAAAGATGGCCGCCAACAGAATTTCCAGTCGAAACTCCGGCGCGGTCGGCCACCAAACTAGGTTTTGAGCCACGTCGTCTGAGCTGATCGATCTAGCTCAGCTTCTTCGTGACCTGGTTTAGCGTGCTGAAAGTCGCTGGTTTTATATGTTTGTAAAAGTGATTTCTGAATGAGGCGCTGTAATCGGTCATTTTCTGAAAAGCCCCCCTGATCCCGGCCACATTACATTGGATGCGGCCCAAAAGGCGTGCTGACAATGCCCATGGCGCCTGTCCCGATATACACGAGCAGCGACGAATCGGGAACACGCGGACTATTCCTGGTGGTGGCGTAGGCGGGGATGGAAAACGAGCGTAATCCTTGCTATCTGCGCGAACAACCAAGTTTACACTCTAAGCATATCGGTGGGAAACTGTGCTGCATTTTCACACACGATCTTTGTCTCATGCTATTACCATGTTTTGGTTCATAAGGGCAGATACATAAATAGGTGGTCCTAATGGGTGAAAACTTGAGATTGTGCTACTGATGGTTTCTGATAGCCTGATTTTGTGTTCTCCTGGGTTATTTTGACTTTCATCGCGTTTCATTGCTGTTTTGTTCTGTTTTTCCCCTTTTTTAGTAAATGTGTAATATTCTCGTTATGCTGAGATTGCCGATTCACTAAAGAAACAGGAATCTCGATTGTTGTGAACCAGTTGCAACGCTGACATTTATGCAAATGGACAACTACTGATCATAGTTTTGGGGACGAGAATAAAAGTCAACACTCAACAAAAATAAGCAAATGCCACTGTCTCTTGTTATCCAGTTCACACTTTCCCATCAACCATCCTTGTTTCCCGGCCCGATCACGGTACTCACCGCCGGCAGGGCGAAGAACGATATTCCTAATAAGGCACACGCAGATGCGATGAGTTTGCCCTTCCACGTGATGGGCACAATATCACCATAGCCAACCGTACACAGTGTCACCTGAAACAGCAAAAAGACACAAATTGGTCGGCGTCTTTTGTAATGAGACCTATTGCATAGAGTAAACCTAACTAAAGGGACACGAAAAGAGTAGGTATCTGTCATTGTTCGATGCTTCGTTGGTTGGTGATAACAAGAAATTAGGGCATCTTAACCCGCGCCCCGTAGGGCTACCGGCGGACCCTACCACCCGTAGGGGGGGGGGCCGTTTCGGCCCCCCCCCCTAAGATCTCGGAAAGTTACGGGCCGATTTTCAAAATTCAAACGGCGTTTGATAGCCCTACCCGGGAACTACCTTGTGACCAAATTTCATTGACCTAGGTCAAACCGATGACGTCACAGGTTAGGTCAAAGGTCAGGTTTTCACCGTTCACAGGCAATTCAAGAAATGTGCTGTGAAATCGAGTAAATTGGTAATTTATTGAAAACCATCGATGGTATATTGTTCGTCAAACACATACTTTGCTATCTGAGGTCACTGATACCAGGTCAGGTCACAGCGAGGTCAGGTCACCGGGGGTCACAATATGAATGTGTCGTGTGATACATGTTTTATGGTCCATTTTACATGACAAATGCGATTATGTGGGTTAGGCAGCCTTTGGGGCCAGCCTAGGTCACGTTTTGGTGAAGGTCAGGTCAAGGTCAGGTCAAATTAGGTCAAATTTCAAAGTTGATATTTTTGCATAAAATGGGTATCCATTCGATGCAGCTCGTCACGGGGAGTCTAATGGTGGTCCTTGTTTTGCTCTACGAGTTCTAGAATTGCCAAAAATTGAGTTTGAAAATTTGACGTCATCATTTTTGAACAGTTTTTTTCGCTATAACTTGGCCAAAAAACGAGGTATCGATCTGAAATTTGGTATGTAGATAGAAGACGGTAGGTACTATCACATATATTCCGGTTTTTTCGATACTCAAAAAACTTTTTGGATTTTTTGGCTAATATATCCATAAAAATGCTTTTTTGATTTTTGGGGATCAAAACTCAAAAATTTCAAAAATCCGAGTTAGCAGTTTTGTAGCCCTGTCAATTTTACACCTTTTATATCTTGATCATTTTTCTGTATCTTCAAAGCTGTAGGCCTGACAGGTCTTCTCGCGAAGGTCTTTTTTCGGTCGAAAATGACAGAACATGACGTCACTCTGACGTCATTTGTGGCCAACCTATCACAGCCTCTGGAAAAATTTTTGGTCACAATGTGTAAAATTGATGCCCGGAGGGATCCTGAAAGTTTGGTGGCGATATCTCCAGCCGTTTAGGAGATATCGACCGAAAAGGACAGGGGGGGCCGTTTCGGCCCCCCCCCCCTACGGGACGCGGGTTAACCCTCGCCCTGGCAGGGGGGTCGATGCGAACCCCCCTAAGATTTTTCGAAGATAGCGTAAAAACGGCGGCGCGCAGCGTCGCCAAATTTAGCACAGCCTATGGGGCAACCTTTTTACATATGACCTGAAAATTTCAGGTCCGAGTGACCTCGGGTCAGGTCACCAGGTCAGAAAAACCGGTACAAGGTCATGGTCAAATTTCAATTTTCTTTTTGCACCTGTCCAACTCACAGTTTTGGACTGATTTCCTTCAAACTTTCAGGATCTGCTAAGTTCACCGAGTTGTATAACATTTCGTTCGTTTTTTTTTTTAGGTCACTGACCTGAGGTCAGTTAGAGGTCATTACGTCGTAATGTTAAGCCTATGGGAAAATACTAAATTCGGAAAATACTGGAGATATCCGCTTCGTTCTATCATTTTTGTGCTTTGAAACCACAGTACTTAACAGCAGGTCACTTGGTGCTTTTTTGTTTGGTGTACTTATCCATGGGTCAGGTCAAATGAAGTCAACTGAGGTCAAATGACGTTTTTGCCAATAACTTGGCACATAATGACGCTAGAGCTTAAAAAATGGTGTCATTGTGTTTCTGGTGATCAGACAAATCGAATGATATGCGATATGATACAATTTGGTTAACTTGAACTTATTTAATTAATTCAAGTTTACTTAAACATTAAGAAAAACTTTAAGTACACTTAAGCAAGCTAAAAAGTATATCATTCGACGCGCCTTGACGTGCTGAGTTCACTGGTGCTTTTCTTTTTGCTCTATCTTAATTAGATCAAAAGTTATAAGCGAAAAACTTTTGACCTGTTTTTAGCGAAATTTTTACATTTATACCCCCCAAAACCCCCTAAATATTGACCTAGAGCTACCAAATTTGCACAGGGGCGAGAACTCCAGGGAGCCCACCTACCTACCAAATTTGGTGTTTCCAGGTGCCATAGGAGCCAATCGCGAGGGGGGGTCGCATCGACCCCCCTGCCAGGCCGTGCTATGGAAAATGCCCTGCCAGGGCGAGGGTTAAATATTTGATAGGAGCTCTCCGTAGCTTTTTAAATATGTAGGACATTGGTTATGCTGGGCTGACACCTATAGTGCGTCGAGCGTGCTTTAGCTGTACTTACAATGTTTTGAATCGACAAGCATGAATAACACATCAGCATTACTTTTCCGTCACAACGGTGGTTGATCGATGCAATTATTATCACAAATAAAAATACATAAAAGATAGCCTGCTATAAGCCTGCAAATGACAATAAACGGCTATGACATATCCATTAAAAGTGCGTTTCTGATAGTGGGCGCATAAACGTCATTATCATTGACCAATAACCGGAAATTGAGCAATTTGCCTATGATTGAAAGCTAAGTGTTCCATGCATATGTCAGCATACTCGAGGGCAGCGCTTTTCGAGGAGCGCTGTGGCCCGAAGGTTTGGACTTTGAATTGTGAAAAACGCCCGCCCGCCGGAAAACGCAAACACCGCAAAACGCGCAAAACGCACGCCCGAAACGCCAACGCAAACGTCGCAAAAAATAAACAAACGCCCGCCCGCCGCAAACCGCAAATAAAAAACGCAAAAACGCCGCAAAACAATAAAACCGCCCGCCAACCGCAAACAAATTTAACACCGCAAACGACGCAAAAAAAAAGAAGAAAACCGCCCGCATCGCCCGCCCGCCCGCCCGCCCGCCGCCAAAGACAAACACCGCAAAAAACACAAAACGCCCGCCCGCCGCAAAACGTAAGCACCGCAAAACGTGTAAAACGCACGCCCGAAAAGCCAACGCAAACGGCAAAAAATCACCCGACCGCCGCAAACCACACAGAAAAAAACGCCGAAACGCCGAAAAAAATAAAACCGCCCGCACCGCACCGACGCTAACTGCTAACCGAAAACGACTAAAAGTCGCCCGCCAGCCGCCAAACGCAAACACCGCAAATAAGCGCCGGGCCGCAGCAAGATAATAATTTATCAGCGGCTGGCATACCGCTAGGCTGGTCATTTTCACAAATCAAAAAGATATCTGCAAAAATCTCCTAGATGAAAGCGCCCGATTAAAAAACGGATGGCACGTGCGTGTTCCTCGCCCCCAACTTCCTTCAGGTCAATCGTCATTTGGGTCATCTAACGCATTGACGTATCTGCAAAAATCTCCTAGATGAAAGCGCCCGAGTAAAAAACGGATGGCACGTGCGTGTTCCTCGCCCCCAACTTCCTTCAGGTCAATCGTCATTTGGGTCATCTAACGCATTGACGACCGGCTGGGTGGAATGAACATTGCGCCAAGAAACGTAAGTATATTGTCAAAAAGAATCCCCAGAGTGGTGGATCCCAAAAGTTTGAAACTACCACTTTGGCCCACTGGACGACACCTTAAACAGTTGCCGACCGGATGACACCCATTGTTTGGTCACCCACGCCATAGTATGCATCATGGGTGCGCCGAAATGACCAAAAGTCCCAATTTCCGGTGTGCAGGGTCATTTTCAACGGCACGTGGCACGTGGTTCTGGACTTTTCCGGCCACTTTGCGACATACCCATGGGTAGTGCACCAAATGGTGGTTGATCTGCATGTAAGAAAATGGGGGGTCGTTTGGATCGTTTTCGAGCAATCTGCCGTGGAACGCATTTTTTTCATTTTCCCCATTGGCTTAACACGGGAATTTTTAAAGTCACGTGGCACGTGCACCAGATGGTCCGCGGAGGGGAGACCCATACCAGAACGTAGATCACCTGGCCCACTAGAAATCCTGAAAAAATCAGAACTTTTGGACCAGCCGTTTTCAAGAGCATCAAGTTGTACTGATCTCAGGCAGCTTTTGCCAAATTGTCAGGGAACTCAGATTTGTTTTTCAATAGAAAAACACAATTCTAAAGAATAGTGTTTTAACTATTGACAACAAACCTTCGGTTATCCTACCCGGCATCTGCGATGCCGGGCTCCGCATCGCGGGACCGCAGGTTGTTTGAGCAAGCACCTTTGTAAACGCAGCAAAAACGCCCGCCACCAAACGAGAGGATGAGCCTTGCACGTGCAGACCGCAGTCGGTGTGCTACGGACTGACGTGCACGGCACCCTATTCGTCGGTCTATAGCGGTGTGCCAAATTTGAGTGCAATCGACCCGGCCGTTTTCGAGATCTGGAAGCGACACCCTGCACGTGCGCACGTGCAGCCTAGGCCCCAATTGACTTGTGCACGGCACTCTATTCGCCGGTTTCTAGCGGTGTACCAAATTGGAGCTCAATCAGCCCCGTCAATTTCAAGATCTGGAAGCGACCCCTACACGTGCGCTGGTGCAACTGCACCCCAACCGTGGCACATGAAAATACATACTAACTGACTTGTGCACGGCACCCTACTAACCAGTCTCTAGCGGTATGCCAAATTTCAGCAGAGTCGGCCCAGCCGTTCTTGAGATCTGGAAGCGTCAGCCTGCACGTGCGCACGTGCATAGCGGGTCCCATCTGACTTGTGCACGGCACCCTACTTACCAGCCTCTAGCGGTGTGCCAAGTTTGATCACAATCGGCCCAGCCGTTCTCGACATCTGGAAGCGTCACCCTGCCCGTGCGCACGTGCAGTTGCACCCCTACCAAGACACGTGGAAATGCATCGCCTGGAATGTGTCTACCTCCATGCCAAGTTTTAGCGCAATCGG